GGTTTTCGGGTATGGTCTCGTAAGAGCCATCCTCGCGCTGATACCGAGTATTGACTGATTTGATCGGTACATCGTCGATGAACGGCGACGTGTACTTGGGAATTTCGTCCTGTAAAATAAAGGCCGTGTCGCCTTGATACACTTGAACGGCGTTAGCATGTCCTTGTGGGAGCGTGGTTAAGCGGTGTGGTCCTAGGGGCGTTCCGAAGGTAGTCATGTCACGCGAGTCTACGTGCAGTGCGCGCTGATCATACCCGGCGTACAAATCCAACATCGCATATACTGCGTATCCGGCAAACATTTCGGCCAAGAAATCTGGAAACAGCGGAACTGACGCATCGTGAATGGTGACTTCGTTCAGCGGCTGTAGGTCGTGAACTAAGCGCAGCGAATGGCCGTCCTTTTTCACGACACAAAACCAGCGCGAGCGATAGGCGGCCGTTGACGGCTCGTATACTCCTGATGAAATCTTTTCTTTGATAATGCGAACGACTTCGCCAGTAATTGCGGGTGGAATCGGGATATTGCGCTGCGACCATGGAGTGTGCGGTACTGTCGGAATCTTATAGGGCGGAAAATATGTTTCATCGAGGCGCCCCCGTTCAGAGGCGCCCCAAGCGAATGCGAGTTCGTGAGTTTTAACTAGCCAAGTTATCAACTTGAGCTCTTCGGGCCACAGCCAATTGGCCGGATCTAAATCTAGCTTTTCTGCGCGCTCGCGCGTAAAGCGGGTACCTGGTGTAAACTCTGGGGGGTGAGTTGGTAAATCGGGTAGCCCGGCGAGCGGGTCTTCGGGTAACTTGCGCACTATCCTATACTCTGGCGGCATAGTGGTAGGCACCGTTCGTACTTTCTTCGCGACTGGCTTATATACCAGCGCGTGAAGTGCGCGATCATAATAATAGTAAGAATTGAAAGTGTCGATAGACGCTTTATCAATAACGGATCGGGTGGACGATAAATGCGCATAATGCACGGACGGTTCGGAAACGATGCGATGAGAGAATGAAGAAATGGAACTTTGCGCAGAATTGGGAAACGATACGGGGATACTCCTTAAGAGCGTTAATCGGGCGCTCGAAGCGCGGACGCTTTGCGGCGCTTCGGGAAGCATGCGAGAATGAATGAGACATGATGAAGGAAAATACTGATAGCGGGGGATATGAGAGGTATTGTCTCCCCGCGAATAATGCAGATCATCGAAAATTAAAAACCCTTTTCCTCCTTTACTTTTGGCGGATGATCCAAACACGAATGACCGCTTGTACAGCGCTCGCAGCGCTTTACCCAAGGCAGCGTTGGAATGCGTAGCTCCTTGCGCGTGTTTGGGTCAGTAACCAAAATATCCTGTTCCCCGTCAGGGAGATCAAACGTGCGACAGGTAGTTAGCTTAAAGAACGGGCGACCGAGAAGAATTTCGAAACTTGCGCGCGGTATGACTTGTACTTGGAAGTACAGCGGTCCTCCGCCGAAATCTAGCGGCACATTCTCGATGACGCCGAGCGTCGCGTCCTTGTTAGTATTAACCGATTCCATGTTTAAGCGATGGTCTGACCGCAGACCAACACCGAGCGTTTTCCAAATTGCGGCTGGCATTACCACGACTTTGGCGCCTTGATCTAGGACACAGGTTACCACCCTGCCGCCGATGGTAGTTGCACGAATGCAGTGTAGCGGCGCAAAATGGTCTGCTACAACTCGGCCATCGTCGCTTTGCAAGTGTTTGGCGTCATAGTCGCGCATCCATTCATCCGAAACCGGGTGTCCTGTAAGTTCGTTCACTGATACTGTGCCGACCGTGACGCGCTTTGTGGTGGTGAGGTCGCGGAATTGCTTGCGGAGGTCGGGCGATATTGCGAACAGTTCCCATGTCGAAATATTGATATGAGTATCTAGTAGGCGCTCGAGGATGCGCTTATCGGCGTCCTTGTCCTCTAAGCCGTGCGAATACCGGTATGATGCCGTTTTTGCCGAAGATGATGCCGTGTTTGTTGTCGAGTCTGTAAGGTCAGTGTGTGTTATAATGGGTGAGGATGAAGATGAAGTTGCGGGAGCGGTGTTTGTCCTGCGTGCATTTGCCGATGATTCGGCCGCTGCTGGCGCGGTTATTGCTTTCGTGACTTCCGGCGCTTTCCCTTTACTTGACGAAGCTTGGACAGCGGGGGAGACAATCTCCTCTGCTACAGTGGCTTGCCTAGATGTGGGCGCTGGTTTGGCGCGATACTCGCTAGCAATTTCTACGCCGTCAAACCGGACGGTCTTCCTCTTACCTTCGCCCTTCGCCGATCCACGCTTGGTATCGCGTCGGGCGGTTGCCAGCGCGAGTGCTTGTGCGGCACGTAACACATCTACGTCCTCCTCGTCTATATCAGACTCAGATTCTGCGACGGTATGGATAAACGCGGACGGGTCTATGTCCAATACGACGTCGACATCCGTCGCCGCGCGAACATATAGCACCGCGGTAACGCTAGAACTTGGAAGCGCCTCGTTTGCCTGTTTGTTGGAGTGATACCTATCTAGTTGGTCCTTTAGGGTACCGTCGCTCGCGCGACCGGGAATCCAATCTCCGCTGGTTAATACCAGTTTCATCGAGGTTTCGTGTACCTTACACTTGCCGGCACTAATGTAGGTGTCCTTCTCTTGACAGCGGCTGAGGAAATGGTCGTTCTTTCCGCAAAACATACAACCGCTCGATGGTGAACCACTACCGGGTCGTCGGGCTTGGTATTCCTGCTTGACAATGGTACCTTGCGCCGGTTGTTGCGGTGCTTTTGCCGCCGGTGCGGTAGCGCTTGGATATGGCGTCAATACCGACGTCCCTACGGTTTCAGGGCTTACTGTTCCCATTCCTGGAATCAAGAATTTGGCGGCTGCGTCTACATCTGCAAAAGGGTAAGGGTCGCGCGGGTGGTGATCTGGGAATTTGATCATTAAGCGCGTGCGAAGCAGCGCTTGGGTATCGCTCGGAAACCCTTCTAACCACATGCGGTTCCGTTCCGCCGTACCTATGTGATCCTTCGCAATCAAGGAATCAGCAATCTCCCTGAAGGCGCGGCGGTAATTGCCGAGCTCGGTGAGCGAAGGCATTGGTAGAGCCGCGTGTTTGCGCGTTACCGACTGTAGGTCGGATACTGCGTAACGCTTCTCGCCTTCACAACCGGGATACATTTCCTTTACCTCCTTAATAAAGGCGTTATAGTCACTTAACTTTGCCTCCGGCATTCCGGACCAGAGCGCGCGCTCGCTGTTAGGCAAGTAGCGGATGATACCCTTGATGCGATCGCCTCCGACGAGGTTCGCATCGTCGGCGCACGCTTCATAATCCTCGATAAATGCAAGAAGATTTTCCGCCGTGCCGTCGAACTTCGGCGCTTTGTCCGAACCACGAATCGGCATTCTGATAGTTGCGGCCATTTGGATAGGTTGGGATTGGGGTTTGGTAGGTTGAGGTTGGGCTATGATGGGTGTTGGAAGTATGACGTTTGAAGGTCCAGGATGACCAAACTGAGGGATAAATATGGCGGCGCGGTTCCGAATAGAGTTCGGCCCGATTAGGGGTTCCGTTTGTTCTGTTTTCACGATAGGCGCTGCGCTTGCTGGCGGCGCGTGTATCCGAGATGAAGGTTCTTCTTTTACAGTCGCGCTGGATATGGTTAGCAGGGTAAGTGGAGACAAAGGAATAAAGTTTGGATCTAGGGGATTTTTAGGTGTTTCAACAAATGCGCCGGGCGGCAGGTTGCGGGGATGGTCGTGTGATTCGAATTCGTCCGAGGATTCGCCGTGTACTGATTCTCTGGGCGATGGCGTTACTGGCGATGCGGGTGCAAACGGGTTTGGTGTTAATAGGGATAGATCGGGGCGCGTTGGCTCCGAGAAGTTTCGCGGCCGATTATATTTGACCGGAGTCAAAATTTCCTGAATGGTGGATAAGCGCGAAGAGGCGACCGCTCTTCAAAATTCTTCCAAGACTTCGTTTCTTGCGACACGTTCTTTAGTAGGCCTGAGTAACCTACCGGTTTTCTCAGATGATCCCCTCGCGGTGGGCTCCAGTTGTAGAAGAGGAATGGGAAGTGGGTGAAAATAGGTGGTGTGAGATAACTCAAGTAGTCCTCGGTGAGCGAGATATATGTCGGCCCAAGGGGATTGCTACTGAGAAGGTTCCTCTAGGTGTATAAACGGAGGGAAACACTGAACCGGGCGCTTGGTCAAGCCTGGTTAGGCGCGCGACAATGAGCGAAGTGCGAGCGAACGAAAGCGACGTGAGGCGCCGATGAGCGATAGCGGCCGACGACAGATATCGGCGCGCGACTTATACGGAAGCGCGCGCTTTAAGCAGAAGCAATGTGCGCGGGGGTGATAGAGCGCAGCGACTCTTAATGAGTCAGAATACTAATTTGACAGAGTTTCTAGTAGAGTACGGCGACGGCGCTCGTATTGTACTTTGATACCCTTTCTAGTTTTTAGAGGATAACTTTAGACTTATAGTCCAACGACGTGTGGGCAGGAAAAGATACCCTTACACAGTTTATGTACGTCTATATATACTAAGTAATGATAAGCGCTGTCAAGCGCTAAAGCGAGCCGAAAAGCGAAGCGGACGCGAGATAATATGTAATAAGGGTTCATAACGGAAACATACGAAATATGACCATAAGCGCCGGAGATATGTTAAATCAATGAAAATAGAATCGGAATACGCACCGACGAACCGAACGGACATGGAATGGATGGACGGAGGACGTGCGACGGAACCAAGGATGTGCGCGCCGATGCGCGACTAAGAAGCGACCGGAGCGCTGGCGCTTGCGAGCGGCCGACAAAGCGCGGGGGCGCGCTGCGTGAGGTATGAGTCGCGCTATGTGAGGAAGTGGTAGTAAGAATGGGATTTTAGACCCCTGCAAGGCCACAGAGATATTAGTCTCTACACCGTCCCTACAGATTATGCACCACTAAATAGGATGTAAGAGATGGAATAAAATAAGCTTCAATTACTTACCATGCTGTGGGCATCTGTAGCCTCCAACACTGGGGGTGGGATGGCCAAAATAGGGCGCTTCAATGCAAGCACACTGGCATTGACAGCCATTGTGGTCAATGGGGCTGTGAGCATCCTTGCTGAGCCACCGGTGGACCGAATCTTGGTTCTGGCCATGTGGATGAGTGATAGAAGGAAAGGATAGAGGATGTGGCATGCAGAAGTGGTACTGGATGGAATGGTCTTTGCAAAAAAAAGTCGAACAACCAAGTCACATGATTGTGTCAAGCACAAACCGGACTTTGCCGGTGCAAACAGAGCCAAATTGTTGAACAGCAAATCGCCCTCAGCACAAACCAGACTTTGCCAGTGCAAACAGAGCCAAATTGTTGAACAACAAATAACCTGCTTCACATGGTTCATCTTTCTCTTCCTTTCTATGATGCGCTCCCCCCTCATTTTACAAGTCTTAAGCTTTGTCTCTTGTCTATGCTCACTTCACTCAATCACACGTGCTCACCCTGTTTCCTATTGCCCATTTATACAGACTGCAGCTGTGTAAATGGGCAATGCATCACTGAGCAATTCCATTTGTTAGGGTGCGTCTCACTTGTGGCCTTGAACTTTACTGACGGCTATTGTTTTCAAGGACCTTTACCACGCTAGAGGTGAAAGGTAAGTGTTACTGTCTTGCTTCTCACATACTGATTACTTTCTATAGTTTGTTATTACTACCGGATGTGTTTTGTGTGCACATTGGTGCGCCTGAACACTCTGCCATGCTGTGAGAGAATGTTTGTGTCCACATTGGTGCACCTCTCCTCTCACCATCTCAAGTGGGATCATGGGGGCTTGGTGAAGGTGGAGCATGGACCACATTGGTGCACCTCTCCTCCCTTCACCTTAAGTGGGATCATGGGGACTTGGTGAAGGTGGAGCATGGACCACATTGGTGCACCTCTCCTCCCTCCACCTTAAGTGGGATCATGGGGGCTTGGTGAAGGTGGATCATGGGCCACATTGGTGCACCTCTCCTTCCTCCATCTTAAGTGGGATCCTGGGGGCTTGGTGCACCTCTCCTCCCTCCACCTTAAGTGGGATCATGGGGGCTTGATGTGCCTCTCCTCCCTGACAATCCAAGGACTCATAGATTGTCCTGAAACAAGGTGATCTATAGCATTTATCTGACTAGATACTGACAAGTATTGAACAGATGGATATCTAATACTTTGTTAATCCTTGTCCGCCCTAAGGTAATCTGTATGTGTTTCAGTTTGCAGATGCTGATCAAATTTTGCATATTCGCTAATACTTTGCTGATCTTCCATCTTGTCTGCCCTAAGGTAATCTGTATATGGTTCAATTTGCAGATGCTGATCAAATTTCGCAGATTCACTGTAGTACTTAGTTTAATATTATTTCTTACTATACTTGTGCAGTACAAGACCATCATGGGGAGGGCCCCTCCATGACAGCCTTGTATTAGCTCCAATCTATACACGCACACTTGTTTTAACTTAGAAATATAAAGTACTCTAAGAAATAGTCATGTAATCAATTTCTTTCTAATTCAACACGGCTGTTCAGATTTGTCATGTGACCGAGTGACTCCGGTCTGGTCCAAGTGTGATCTACTGTTCTGAGGACAAGACATATTATAACGACCTGAGCTAGCACCAATGTGCTACTTCCTCAACCAATTTTCCTTGTCTTGCCTCTTTGCATTGATGCATGTGCCTGTATGTCCTATTTGTGTGAACTGACATCTTTTGGCTGTTGAAGTCAAGCCTCTGACTTTGAAGCAGACATTTCCATTGACCTTGTCTCTCACCAACCTGTCAAATGTGAAACATCGTCTTTCATTCATGTTGTAGTATACATTGCTATCTTTATTTCCACCACCAAGATGTCCTTTGAGCACCGGTGTAGAGACTCGTGTGTCTCATGGTCTGATATGACAGCTTTACACTAGGAAGTACATAGCATGAACTTGTAGTGTCACTCTGTGCGCTACCCGCAGCTATCTCTATATGAGGCGAAGCTTTCCCGTGCAACGCGCACCATTCCCGCGCTTCACGATGTATGCGCGCGCACGTTCCCGCGCTTGCGCGCCCTATAGCACCAGCCATTCAGATGCATCCATCCACTGTCCACCAAGCTCCCTAGTACGTATATTTCCATTTCCTTTATTAGCATAGTTCCACCTTTATTTTTATCATAGTTTCTCACTCATATATATTTTTACATACCTACTCGGTAGCGCTTCGGCTCCGCATGACCGCGCTTAGGCGCGCTATATAAGCGCCAGCAGTACATACTACACTTTACCTTACTTTACCTCCCATTTACTTATTACTACTTACTTACTACTTAGCAGAACATAGTAGAACTCTATCTGTTTACACCTCGCATCTCTCTTCTCTTATCTAGTATCATATCATCACTTAAGTCTAACCTCTCTGTTGTTTCTGCATATGCACGCGCGCGTGTTCCCGCGCCTTGCGCGCACCTGCGCTTTCTCGTGCTTCGCTTCAGTGCGTACCTGTAGATCTTCGCTGCACTCGCTTCCCCTATAGGGTCGAACGCACTTGCCATCTCAAGTATCGCAGACTAGGCAACGCACGACCTACAACATTTATAGATACAGCTAGGAGCTATCTTTGTTCCTGGCAGTATTGTTGTTTCTACACCGGTCTATTTGCATAGCACAAGGTGGCGTCCTCAACACTAAGACACATTGAGTCACTAGTGAGTAACGTGCAAAGTCCAAACTGTGAGAAATGATGTCTTTCATTCATATTGTAGTATACATTGCTATCTTTGTTTCCACCACCAAGATGTCCTTTGAGCACCGATCTATTTGCATAGCACAAGGTGGCATCCTCAACACTAAGACGTGTTGAGTCACCAGTGAGTAATGTGCAAAGTCCAAATGGTGAGTGGTCACGGTCTTGATGTAATGAGATTGTAACTGGTTCTCTTTATTTGATTCTTCTGTCGCTGTGTCTATTTCGTCGTAGACATACTGCATTCTCCTTCACTTCAAACACATAGGTAATATATTTTGATTTCTGTACAGCTCGGAATCTCATGTGGAATCACTGGCACGATAAAGCTTGATAATTCACAGGTAAGATCAAATTTCATCCAGATTGACTTATGATTGAATTGTCACATTTTATTTATAAACATACCTAAAACATAATTGTACCCATATATAGTTTAGACTCATATATAGGTTGAAAATTTTGCTGCCAAACACTTCATCATTTGGTTCAACTTTTCCCTTGCAGCCGGATGATGGTAGATGCTACTGTCACAACCATGGCCAACAAATTGCTTGCCCATGTGGACGAAGTTCTGTGCCAAGCATCACCCTTTCATCTGTTCCTAGAAGGTCAGCTCAATGACAAGTTGTGTGAGAAAGCCAGGTAAAGTTTTTTCATATTGTTCTTGACACACGTTGACCGTCATTCTTCATCTTCTAGGCTGAGACTGTGGGCGGACTGGCATGCAATTGTAACAGACCGTACTGGTTCCATTGTTGAGCCAAACAAGATTGCAGAAATTGAACTTATGCGTGCAGCAGTGACCATCGCCCTGGTAATTGTAAGTCCTTGTGAGTAGTTGTGTATTTTGAGGTTCTAGATCAGATCTATAATTGGCTACAGTTAAGGTGGATTGGGACATTGAAAATTTTGTGGACCGAGTGAAGGTTTTGCACCCACTGCGCGCCAACCCAAAACTCCGGACGAAACTAGCTAAATATGTGGCTCTACCATCATTTGGTTCCATATCAGAGCCAGCTACATTCATTGATCAGTATGGAAGGATCCTTTGTTGGTATTTACCACAAATCTTGGTGCCCGAATGAGTGGTACGACAGGACTAAAGTTTATTGAACTATAATTGTTTTGATTGTTATATTTAGGATCTTGTCAATCAAGGCATCAAAACCTTGATGCCAGTTCTGGATCAATCTGGGCCGAAGTCAGACAACAAGCCCTGGTGTTCACAAGGTTACATTATACCTCTGGACCATGCAGAGTTTGGAATAGGATGCGTCACTTTGTGCCCAGGGGGATTTATGCAACGGCATGAAGTAAGCATCTGTCTACCATTGGCATGACATTGAAATAACTAAATTGATAGCAGCTTGAGGATGATTTATACCAATCTACCTGTTACAGTAACATGGTGTGAGCCCCCAGCTACCGATATGCCCTCTGCCACCTTACACAGCAACGACACGATACCTGGGCCTTTAGGCCTTGATGATAGATGATGATAGAAGAGAAGCCCTGAAGATGCCGGGTTAGATAAGCGGTCTGGATCGCATATGATGACATAGGTCTAGAAGACCTATTTATGTTATCAAGATAGAAGGCAGGCCTCATGGTTGCCTCATGCACTGATAGAAGGACGCCTCATGGTCCTTATCTTAGATAGAAGCCTGCCTCATGCATGGTATCTCTGACTTGATAGATAAGCAGATTAGAACCCAGCTTCAAGCTGAGCTTAGATACGATAGAGTAGCCTTATATAAGGTCGATGATTAAAGTAGATGTCCCTTACTTTAATCTTACTGGGTTTTACCTTGAACCACTTGTCTTGCTAAAGCTACTTGCTCAACATCTGATCCATACCTTCAGAAGGATTTGAGACCCCTTCTGCCTGTAACCGCTATCATCACTCGCCTCCACTAGCATACACAACTCCTGCTTGTCTGTAGGAGCCGATCTTGGACTCTCAGCACAAGGTATCACTGTTGTGATCGTCGCTGTTAGATCATCCCAGTTCACACACGACTCACCATTGTAACACTACCACACTTTCATCACTGCTCATTTGTGATTGGTTGTTCAAAATGACCACAACCGAACAATTTTGGTCAGCTATCACTAGCATTGTAGTACTGGATCAATATCATGCTGGCATGGAATCAGTTTCTAGCCTTGATGATGTGGTTCATACTTCAGCTCCCATGGTTTGGCCATCACTGTTTTCTGGAATAGAAGTCATTTCAAACTGACAGATGCCGAATCATAGGGATCCGGGAGCATCAGCCTCAATGTACGATTTTCTGGTGAGCCTTGGTAAAGGTCACAAGGCTGTACTTGATATTAAGGACCTGGGTGCTGAGCTAGTTTATCAAGCTGGGACTATGGTGTTCATTTGCGGGAGGGTATTAGAACATGGGGTCCCATTCTGGGGAGACAGTGAAAGAGTGGTCATTGCTCACTTTATGAAAGATAAAGTTCATGAAAGGCTCAGTGTGCCTAGACCATCATTTCCATCTCAGAAAGATTTTCTTGATAAGGTGGGGGCCAGTAAGAAGGGGGGTCTAAAGGCTATCAGAAGGGGTGGAGGAGAGAGTAAGAAAGGTAAGAGGGGGGGTTGAAGGGCTATTTGAAGGTGTTGAGGAGAGGGTATGGTATAGTCTACTTTTTACTTTGATCTACACAATATGTCACCTAAAAAAAAAATTGTCTCAAGTCTATTTCATATTCTTTGAAAGATAGAGGACATTTATCTCAAGACAAGGACCTGGATGTGGACTATGTGGTCCATAATCAATCCGGTATGAAGAGGGGAAATATTGTCTGGCTTGAGTCCTGTGCAGATCTGTTATATGAAACTTCACCAGAGCCTTCCCATTCGTCAAGCCCAAGAAAACGGATAAAAGGAGTCCATACAGAATTGCGAGATATCCAACACAATGACATGTACAATGAAACATATGGAGAATTTGTTGCTGAAGCTGAGGATGGTGAACTTCCTGTCGGAAATATATATTTTGGGTTCCCATGCCTTAAAATGGATTGAAAGGCCTCAATTTGCTGGCGGCATTACAACTGACTTGCAAGAACACCCGAAATTGCCATAAGCCAGTTGGCAGTGACCCATTTGGTCTTGCGACTGCCTTCCAAGGCAGTGCTAAAGTGCCAAGACCTCATGCCTTACAAGGCATTAAAAGACAGTTCCAAGCGCGAAGATATCCAATAATATTTTATCATTTCAACCAAATTTCAACATATAATGCTAGTTTCAATCACACCAATAAAATTCCAATGATATAAACTGGATTGAAACTACTATGATTAAATTGCATAAAACACTAAATTACAAAATGTACAGATTCCGGCAGCATCACAACTTGTCTACCAGAGCTCCTGATGATGCCCAATTTCTGTTTGTCTTGAGAGTGCTGCATGTGGTTGTCGCCACCGCTGTTGCTGGTTGCAGGAGAGGAATAGCTGAGTGGTGGGAGAGGCAGCAATAGAATTGGTGCACGAGGGTGCTAGATGAATTTCAGAAGGAGGGCTGATGGGTGTTGTGGCCTCGAGTGAGGTCAGTGTTCGCTCCAAAGTGAGTCAGGGCAGGTAGAGAGTGGAGTCGCTCACGCGCATGATGAGATGAGTTGGTGGTGCCACTGAGGAGGGAGCCCAAGTCTGAGGAAACAACAATGTCACACAAAATGTTTCAAACACGTTAGCATGCAATAGATTGGACTTGTGACAGCAAACATACCTGTGGTCAACCATATACCTCATTACTACAGTCGTAACAGCCGTATACCCAAGGCTGAAGCACTGACGGTGGGTAGACCGGGAGTCTCAATGTCAGAGGCAGAATAATCTTCGAAAAATAAAATAAAAAACAATACCTGCGCTGCTGTCGCTGATCCCATACAAGCAGAGTTGGTTTGCTTGTCTGATTTGTGTTCATACCAGCATGAGGTCACAATGGAACCACCTGACATTGTGTCCGACGTGGTGGTAAATAATGGTAATGGTCCAGGTGAGAGTTAATAAGAGAGCCAAGTTGTGGTTGGATTTCAAGAGCTGAAGTCAAGTTGGCATGACTGGGAATGTAATTAGCTTACTCAGCTGTTTGATTATGTGTACTTCTGACCTAATTTAGCGATGATTGTGACATTGCCAACAGCAAGACTGAATGTTTGAAAAGGTCCAATGATTATTATGATTCACAATTCAAATCAAAAGGCACAATGGCAAATAATGAATATCATTGAAGAGACAATTTAAACGACAAAAAACTTCACTAACAGTAAAGAAGATATCTGAAAATGTGTGTGATAAGTGAGTGCAGAGTAATGATATTCAGACAAATAGCGCGTGATATATCACTTCCTTCGGCCAGACCTGTGAACCTCAGCGCCTGATTCATCTGCCTTGGTTTTGGTTTTGGTTTTGGGGGGACAGCCCCAACCACATCAGGCTCTACAAGGGGAGGACCACCTGCCAAGGTAAGGTCTTGCATTGCCGAAGAGATGGAGTCAGATGGTGCCACGATGATAGGAGCAGCTGAGGGCAAAGTAACAGGGGCAGTCACAGGGGCAGGTGGAAATGCAACAGCAGAAGCATAATATGCTGGCAGTGCAACAGAGGCAGATGGTGAGCGTGTGACAGAGGCAGAGGGTGGATCCACAATGGACTCAGAACACTGAGTAACAGGTGCAATGACAGGATCAAATTGAAAAGCTGGCCCGTTGCCTCCCTCTTCCATGGCATACTCAAGTTCCTCTTCCCAACTATTGTGGGAAGTGCCTGCATCTGTCGTGTCTGGACCGACATGCGAGGATGAGGTTTAAGGGAAGAGGGCATTGTTGAAAAAGGTGAGGATGTCTCATGCCCAGGCACCTCTGGTCATTATACATTGGCGATAGTAGTTATGATATTGGTGGTACAGGATATTGCTTTTTTCACTCTTCGCGTACAAATCCTTGTCGCCCAAAAGAACAAATATTGCCTGCCAGTGGCACAAACATAATCAGTACACACTCAGAGATACAATGTCTGACGAAGACTTACAACAACAGCAGCAGCAGCAATCATACCCAGAGTGGTATTCTGTAATTGCCAAAGTTTGGCTTTAGTCTTGAGGGCTGGAGCATAGGTGGCAGAAAGGGAGGATTTCCCAAAAAGTGCTACTTTTAAGACCTAATAGCTAGATGATCAAGACCTCGCACATGTACATACTAATAAAAACAATGCACCCGAACAAGCTTTGCTGTTTTGAGAAATTTGTCTTTGTTGGGATGCTCTGGATGAAGAAAGAGTATGGGAGCAAACTTTGTGTATTCACCATGGGGATTCACAAGCATAGTACAGCATTCTGGCTGAGTATCGTGAGGGTAGCCTCAAACAAAAAATTCGGGATTCAACCCAAATATAGCACCTGCGCAAGACTTGACGTCTGAAACCATTTCCGAGTGAATGTCACTGACACCCTTTGCAAACTACCACAATCGGAGTCAGTTGAAGTCAGTCTAACTAAGCTGAGAGATTCCTTACATGCGGTGCGAAGTTCTTGTAGCCCATCAACTCATGATCCACTTCTGGGATGAATTTGAATAGCTCTGCCTTTACGCCATCCTCTATTGACTGTGGCGACAGCCAGTGCTCGCTGCAAAAGAGTTCAATGTTGGGAGGCACATGTAAGGCAAACTCTTTGCATGGAGGAACATATCCATGTTGACAAGATCGACAAGGAAAAAATCACCATTGTTATCATAATCTGGCACCAGTAAAGCACCACAAATGATAGATTGTAAGGAAATAAATTCCAATGAAGCTAGAGGTCATGCCCAAAGACAAGTCAGTCCCAGATCGTGATCCGCTGTAGGTTTGCAACTCAGTGTGGTGCTATAGGCTCCAAACCGATATCTTTATGTTGTAGGTCGTCCAACACCTAGTCTGCTATACTTGCGGAACAAGTGCGTTCGACCCTAAAGGGGAAGCTAGTGCAGCAAAGGTCTAGAAATGAGCGCCAAAGGTGCTGCTTAGCGGCCAATGCGAAGCGGTGGGTGTGCACGCGGGAATGAAGCGGCAGCCGATAGCCGAAGGCACGGGAAAATATGGCTGCAAAGCGGCTGCAGTGCGGGTGGTTCAGATGATAATAGAGATGATAGATAATGGAAATAGATGTAAAGCGGAACAGTAATGGACGTGGTGTGGACAGTAAACAGATACAGATTGCCAATAGCTACCAACCGTAGGCTAATGGGAGTTGCTACTCCAACGTCTGGGAAACAAGCTACTGAAGAGATATGTACTACTGCCACTTAAGTATGTTGCTAAGCGCTGTCATGTGGAACTGAGCCGACACGCTACCGAGTAAGGTATGTAAAGCTATATGTAAAATAAAGGTGGTGCAATGCGGAAATGGTCTGATATGTAAATATAATTATAGAATAACATACCGTTGGGTTGGTTGGACATGGACAGATGGTGCGAAACGTCGGCCAATGAAGCGCGGGTAAACACAGCTGTGCGCGCGTGGGAACGAAGCAGACGATGTGCGCAGGTCGCGGGAAAGCTGCACTTGGTGTAGTAAAGTAATAGGACACTAAGAGATACTGCAAAATAGCCTCTACGAGGCTACAAGGACTTCCAGTCCTACACCGCGCTTCGTCTTGAACCAGTGGGAGCATCCATGGGTAGGACTAATGCAAGTTCAACAGTGTGATTGCTGACCGTAAACTTGAACATGAACAATATCTGGACAAAGATATTCTTGTCATTCCCGTCCTTGTCTAGGGTCCGTATCAAGGCACAATCACAATGTTCGCACCCATGGAAGCTCGGATTACATCAGAGATAGTCGGTGGTCAGTCTCCAGTCAACAGTAGGCTCATAGTTTACTTTGAGGTAGCAATATTCTTGAAGCTGTGATGAAAAAAACCCATAATCAGTAGACATTTAGAAGGATGTAGACGAATGAAACAACTTTATTGTTAGCTGTAGGCCGCAACCATGTAACACCATCCAAAGGAATGTTGTTTGAAACAATGAAATTATTGAGGAACTTTGTGAACTTCTTTTGGAAATCCTGAAATGCGCGGTTTGATGTGTTGCCTTCCTCCACTGCAGTGAGAGTGACAGGAATTTGAGGAGCGCCAATGTAGAGATGGCCCAAAAATGGCTGATCATCTAGTGTATCATTGTCTTCAAGTTCTCCCTGTGACATTGTGCATTTGCACTGATCTTCATTGAGGTGGGAAATACGACTGCGGACCAATTCAGAAACTACACTGATATGATCAAGCTTGAGGACCTGTATAGTGATATTTTAGTATCACAAGCAGTTTGAATTAAAGGACAGCATACCTGATTGGCAACATCTTTACGATTCGTTTGATGCAAGTGTGCTTGCTTCAATGGTTCATGTTGCTTCTCGTTCAGTCAAGTACTGAAGTTGCATGCTGCTCCTTTTGTGCAGATGTCAGGGAAAGCATGCATCAGGGCATGCACCTTGGGAAAATTCCAGTTCTTGGTAAAATCTTCACCCTGTATGTCAATATATGCCTGAAAATGTGTTAAGATATAGCTGAAAGTTAAAGGAAACATGATATATAGTTACATGTAGGTGCATTTCGAACACTAGAAGCTCCGCTTCTCCAGCAGCAAGTGTGGCTTCGGTGTGCACATTGAGCACTATGTACATGGTCAGTTGTAGGTAGCTGGCTATACACTGCAACAGCACATAGCCAACAGTATCTTCATTGCATGTCAATATGTTTTGTGCTGCATACAGCATTTGCTAGAGTCCAGGATGTTAGAAGGTTGATTGAAACATGACAGTGAATAATATTAGTGCTCACCTTAGCGATATCCCTAAGTTTGTTGCCATCACTAAACGATATCTTCATGACAGACTTGAAATGGTTTAAATTATGCCATTGCAGAAATGTGTCGAACCTGCAGAGTCTTGATACAGATATAATGCACAAAGCAATGACGAAATGTACTGTTCATCAATCTTCACCTCAGCTTCACGACCAAGAGCCTTCACATGTATTTTGAGCTCCTCGAAAAAGTGGGTGCCCCAGTTACCAATATCATTGACATGTAAGGGATCAAACGAGAGCATCTTGTGAGGATTAGAGTTCTCAACTTCCCAGAGCACATTCTGACGGTAGTATTAACTAAGATAATAGCTTATGAAAACAATTAAAATACGAACTGCAACAGGACATAAGCCGTGTGCCTTCAGTACTGCTTCTCCAGGAACGTGGTCCCTTGAATACAACTCTAAGAAAGCTTTCGCATCCTCGATGGTTCAAGTAGGATACACTGTGCTGAGATCAGAAAGTTTAGTCAAGGGAACAAGACAGGTATGGCAGGGACAATTTGAATGTAGCCCGCATATTAGTGCCATAATACATCTGTCAAGACATGAGCTATCAAAACATAATGTAAGTGTCAAGAATACTGCATACTGTTCTTCGTAATCTGCAGATAGAAGTAGAATTAGTGGGTATAACCACTGCATGACAGCATCGAAGCATATATGTGCAAACCCTGTTTTGGAGTACAGGATGATGGACTCCAACAACTTAATGAACGCCACATGCCAGACAACACATTTGAGATTCATGTAGCTGAGCTTGCCATCCTCGCTAGAATCTGTAGGAACCTTGTGCATGTCAATACAAAGGACTGATGAGTCTAAGTATCTACTGTTAGTACTCAAACATGTACAATTGGTAGCCAGCCGACCACACGGCCTCCTCCAATTCCATTGCCATTTCTTATGTGAACAGGAAGATTTTCACAATGGGCGATTACTGGGTATGCCTTCACATGTCCAGATGAGGTTAAATGGGTTTTGTCAGTGTAGAGGATGAAAGCGAATGGAACACCATTGTTCGGCAATGATGACTACAATGAATTGAGTACAGATATGATACATTGATTAGCAGCACGTAGATACAAAGCACACATACATGATAATGCATACTTGAATTCACCACCAGCGATCTGCCATCCAAGGCTCGTGAATAAACCGTTTGAAATCGGTACTATTATGTTTGTACAGACGCTGCACATCCCATATAAAGTGTGGTGCCAGTGACGGATCTTGCAACAAGTCCAAAGCCCAATCCCACAGCGGCCGTGTATGTACGTTGAATTTGAGTTCCTCTTTCTTGTATGGGACAGAGATGACGTGCTTCTCGAACTTTACAATAGATTATACCTAAATACTCAGTAACACAACAGATAAGTTTGGAGATAGCTTACGGGCATCATCTGAGTGGCTGCTCGATCCCAGGCTTTCGACACTTCAGCATGAGATTTGAATGTAAACTTTGCATGACCCTCAGTGATCTGCCATATCAATGCCAGCATCTTGTCGGTTTGGTCCTTATTGAGTGCTGCTTGGTGTGCGAGCTCTGCAAACTCAAAGTCCGCATGGCACATAAAAGGTTGCCACGGTTCATCGTCAACGATGGGCAGGGACCTAGCCTCTGCCTCAATGGAGTGTCCGAAGGCAGAGAAGGTCTCAATGGCTGGGGCACGTCTGCTGTTTGGGTGATACTTGGTTTTGAATGTATCACAAGTAATAGGGACTGCGGCCGTGGCCGCAGTCCCTATTATACCTGTTGACATAATGCTCATGTCCAAGCCCTATCCTAATAAATAGAACATGGTTAGAAACCAAACATGCAAGAGAGATATATGTATGTAGCTGTGAGTCTCCCCTGATGCTCATGACATCATCAAAATTGCCATGCTCCACATCATCATGGAATAATACATTGTCAGCACCTTCGATATTTGTTGTGTCATTGATGTGTTGATCATTTGCCAATTGTGAAGGTACATTGATATCACAAGTTGCAGCTGCTTGACATTCCTTTCGGAGGCGCTGTCGATTCTTATGATGTTCTGATCATTGCAATATAAAAATTTATGTGCGACATTTAAGTTAGACAATAAGTATCAAATGAATTTATTGGCGCGACATACCTTTCTTTTGAGCCTTGACTACATGAGCCACAATATCAGCAAACTCTTTATTGCGCCATTTCTTCTCCCGCTTCTGCAAACAGCTCCCCTCATGCGACTTGATAGCACGAGTAGAGAAAGGCTCATTACAAAACTTACATTGCACTTGTGCAGATGATGTTGAGGACCGTATATATGCACGTCTGTTGGTAGATGACAGTCCAGACATCCGAGTAGAATACAGTATGGAGCAACAGTTAGAGACGCAGATAGCGGTTATTGTTGATGGCAGTTGTATCGGAGTAGTAATAGGCAATGTGATGACTGTAACATCGGTCTATTATTAAGATTTCCAAGCCCCTTGAAACTTTGTCAGCTTGCCTTGGAATTCACATGGCACCTTGCGAGACACTCGGTCTGACTTGCAACTCAGATGCAATACGGTTGGCAGGCATCACAATTCGGTCTAAATATAGCAGCCTTGTAAGGACCCTTTAGAAATTTACGACACCAAGACACACAAAGGTATGTCTGCCTGTCTTGATATTACAGGAAATTGCCCTTCTCATAAATGATACAGACACAGAACAACTTCATAGCAGACTATCTCCTGTATCAAGACACATATCTAGATATCATCTTAGATTCCGAGAACTTCGTCCATGCTGGCATATGCAAGATCTGCCAAATGGCTGAGAGTACCTTCCGTTGTGTAACTTGCACTGGTGATTACGGCTGGTGTCGTTCCTGCCTTGTCAAATCACACAAGTCATTGCCTTTCCACAAGATCCAATTGTGGAATGACAGGTGCTTTGAGGATACCACTCTGGCTGACCAAGGATTTATATGGCATATGGGTCACGGGGGAGGGGCTTGCCATCGAAATGGAGTTGCACAAAGTTTGAATGCCACCACTGCTGTCACTATTGTGCATTCCTCTGGGGTGTTCACTCACAATGTCTCATGGTGTTGTTGCCTAGAAGCCTCTGATCAACAGCACCTCCAGTTGCTCCGGGCAGGATTATTTCCTGCCAGCACCACCCAGCCAAGGACTGCTTTCACCTTCAAAGTACTGGATCATTTTCTTATTGGCACCTTAGAATGCAAAACTTCAGCATTGAGCTTCTTTGAGAAGCTACGTCGGCTGACCAATAACGCTTTCCTGGATACTGTTCCTGTGAGTGAAAGTTGTGATCCTATCATTCTAGATCATCCTGAATGTTGGCTCACTGTGTAGGATTGATATCAAGAACTCATGAGAGTATCACGTCTATGGCAGGATTTGAAGAACCATAAATGGTTTGAATTTGGTCATGACAGGGAAACACAGCCAGGACCAGGAAATCTCGCACTCTTTTGCCCATCTTGTCCCCAGCCAGGAATCAACATGCCTTTTCAGTGGGAGGAGAAATATGAAAGGCAAGTTAGTTCTGTAATTTTTCATAGGCCGGTGGCTATGTACATAGCACAATACACCCCCGGCCGGTGGTATACATGTACTAGTCACTGGCCGATATGCTATATATGGCTGGAATAACCCATTATGGCCAGTCTGCAGCTGTGTGGACATAGTGCTGGCCGGTTGTCTTTGTGCACAAACATGCCTGGCCAGTATTACATGTGCACAAACATGCCTGGCCAGTACTACATGTGCCCCATGTGTGACACATCCTGGCTGAGACCAGACTGGCCAGCATTCATTTTACATTACCTAGATGAAGACAGGCTGGTGATTTAATGCTGACTTTGGTTTACAGATGGCTAGTAATGAAGAGATTGGTGGTGGATGGAAATTTCACCGCTCAGCACATGAACATGCGACGGCCTAAATTAGATATCTGTCTCTCTGATGGCCTAGGTTATATGGTGACAGAGGTAGAATATCAAGCTCACTTGACATCAGCTACAGAGAGTAGAGAGATAAGCCGCCTCATCAGGGTTGTAGAGTGTGACTCAAATTTATGGACAGAAGTCTGCTTGTAGCAATCATCGAGCAGTTAATGCTGCAAATACCAACCAAAGCAATCTACAAGCTACAGGGGTGGGTGCTACTGCTTGTGCTCGGCATGGGTGTTTTGTTCCCCATTCCATTGTTGACTTTCAGAAGGGTGAACAGTTAGTCTTCTCTCATTTTGAATATTAAGGTTCTCAAGTGTTTTGGCTTCATAAACTGACTTAATCCTTGACAGTCATATGAATATTGATTACTCAATATGCAATGCCATAACACAAGCAGCCAATGGAATTGATGACTCCCTCATCATTTATGATGTTAGGTGCCAGTGGAACCTTCATTTCACAGAATGTGTTGAGGACTGCCCTGGCTTGGCACTTTCTGATAACACCTGTATTGTGACTGCTGTGGGGAAATTTCATCTCAGCGCTCATAAGCTTCCTTGTTTTGCTAGATACAGCCTCAATTTTATTCTAGGAGCTGGACAAGTGGATGGTGAAATTCTGGAGACACTCTGGGCGCCTTTCAACAAGATCTCTCCAACAGCTCAGTCCATGAGCCAAGCCCACCGTCAAGAAATCCTTGATGATCATATGCGGAATTCAAATTGGAAAAGCTCATTGGAATTGGTAAGTACCTATATACAAGACATAATGACAAATTAATTTAATGCTACATGCAGTTAAGATGCTCTTAAGAAAGTACAAATGGGCCAACAAAGGCATTGACGACACTAAGGTACCATTCGAAGAGCTTACAAGATCTTTGAATGCCAGCAAGGTCAAGGCATGGGAAGAAGATGAGGAGAAGGCAATGAAAGATCGAGGAGAATATCTTGACATATACCAGCTAAATATAGATAAAGGTAAGCTGTTTGAACTTTGCTTCTTTTCATTTTCACATGAGGTATATTCTGATGGATATTTGGAAGCACCAATCATGGCAGAAATTCGGCTGAAATTAACAGAATCAGAATATGTTAATACTGGCAAGTTGGGATCAGTATCTTGGCTTGTCAATGGCATCCATTTGGAGGATTCACAGTACATCATGAAACAATTTTAATCTGGAGGGTGTATTTGATTTTAATTTTAAAGATGCATTGAGAGTTGAAATTAGGCAGCTTGCCAAAGATGCATCCCCTGCTTAAAAGGTCGTAGTTGAAGAGAAACGACAAAAGCTAGCTGCAAGGATTACAAAATTTCATGAGGTGGCTGATGCCATGATGGAGGGGATTGAAGTTAATGCAGGTACAGAACATGCTGACGACATCAGATTCTGCAGTCCATATGTGAAGGAGCATGGATGGGAAGGTGCACATCTTGAAGAAGTTTTGGATGAGGAAGCTCCTGCAGAAGCTATGTGTATTTGGATGCCATCATCAGTGCCTCACAATGGGGCTTCAGTGCTTGGCTTGGACAATCTGTAATCTGAAGAACTGGAATTACAAAAGGAGCAGGCAAATGATTGCTTGCAGAAGTTACAGCAAGCTCTAGGCTATAAGGCCATAATTTATCGGCAACATTTCCGGAGTGCAGATTCTACATGGCAAGGCATCAGGTCAAAGCAAGAGGTTCTTTGTTGTCATGTCAAAATTGATAAGTGTGTCCGAAGCTATCAAAGAGCAAGGGCTGCAATGATTCGACTAGGGGTGGATGAAAATATTCTAAGGAATATTTACCAAGAAATTGAGCCTAATCAGCTTGGGGTGGAGAAGGAAGTCACAGAAGAGAATAGATATGGGCAAGCATCCCACAGATTGGCCTGGTTTTGGAATGTCAACAATGTTCTGGATTCTCAGCAAGACCCTTGGATGGATGAATGTGAGTTATACTTAAAAATCATATTTCTCAAGTGACCAGTATTAGTTTACAGGGTTCATTGGTTGAAAGCCAAGGCCAGATGGCAAAGGTGGGAGGAGGAGCTGAGTTTGGTCCAACATGAGATGGGTTGGACAGTGAGCTGGTTTTGATATAAGAAAGAAGAGTGGCTGAGAAGATACAAAAAATCAGTCAAGCCTGGGCATCCAGCATATGCTCATCAACAGATGTGCTTGTGGGGAAAATTTGGATCTGAGGCTGAAAATTCATTCAAGAATAAGATGATAGTAGTTACATGATTGTATCATTACATTTTCTATTCTGATGGGAAATGCCAATTGAACCTTGGTCTTGTAGGACAGTTAGGGCTGTTCCACTGTAGTGCGTGCAGACTGGCTGACCTATCAGGGGAAGGTTGATTCAGACTGACCGACCATCATGCAAGTCGGCTCATTACTCATCTTTTTGCTTGTCCAGAGTACACTCCTTTCTCTTCTAACTCTCAAGTAAAGCTCCCCCATTTCATTGCATATGTGTCTCACCACACCAAACTCTAATACATGACCTTCAATCCAGCTGCTTAAAGCAAGTTTCCCCACTGCTTTGGGATCTTCGGGTTACTGTCTTTTCATATCTGCCTTCATGCTCACATCCAAGGTCATCTGTGACAACACTTACTCCAACAAATCCTGGAGTATTGTAGCCCAGGGTATGTTTCAATTGCAAGAAATCAATTAGATGGAGGGCAAGATGTATCAGTATCTGGAGTGGGAACTTAATGTGGATCTGGTAAGTTTATCATGATGGCCAGAACATATATGCTCCCTGTATATCTGTGCCAGCTGGGCTATCTGTCACATACCAAGTGAGTAGCCAGGGTAGAAGGAGGCCAGCTGGACCCCAAGGCTGATGGTAATGGGCCATTATATACCACCTATAGATATATGCCGGCCGGGCTATCTGTCACATACCAAGTAAGTAGCCAGGGTAGAAGTAGGCTGGCTGGACCCCAAGACTGATGGTAATGAGCTATTATATACCACCTGTAGACATATACTGGCCAAGCTATCTGTCACATAACAAGTGAGTGGCCAGTGTAGAAGGAGGCCGGCTGGACCCCAAGGCTAATAGCAATGGGCAATAATCAGGCAATAATGTTGTTATGATGCATCAATTACCTATAATTGTAGAAGGGTAGTGATATATCTACACCTGTAAGCCATAGACATAGACACATGATGTATCAATGATATATTGGTACCTGATATACCAGACCTTGGACTACAACTGTGACAAGATGATACTTCACCTACTGTATCACAATATATCACACATCTCAGCATTCTAATTACCTGGAATATACCTGGAAGTGTCAGTCAAGTGATATATCAACTTTCTGGTAGGTTAGTAGAAAGTTTGGCACATGATATATCACCTCCCACCTTGCTGGTCATTGTATTAATATATCATTCTGATGTATCCTAGCACCCTAGTGTGAGCCGCAGGTTATATATCATCCTGCTGGCTATGTATCAGCCCAGCTGCATATTTGGCTGGTGACTATATACATGCATCACAAAATATCTACAGGACCGGCCAGCCCACTTGTGCACTATCAGCTGTGCATCCAGCCAGCCCTGAAAGTTGAGGGTATACATGCTGGCCAGCACTGACCCTACATGTTGTGACCACAACTCAGTAAGCCCAAGTTGGCACACTGGCCAGGTACAAGCTGCATGTCTGGCCGGTGACTATGTACATTGATCACACAATATCTACAGCACCAGCCAGCCCAATCTCAGCATGCACATGTCGGCCAGCACTTAATATATATGTTATGACTACAGTCTGGTCAGTCCAACTTTGGGCACCAGCCGCTAACGAGGTACATACAGTGGTCAAGGCTAGCTGGGACACATTCTACAATCATTTTTTATGTCCGGGGCACCGGTTCTACGTAGGGTCATGACTGAAGTATGTGCAGCAACTTCAAATGTACCAAAAAAATAGTGAAGGCCATGCACACTGCTGCCTTGGAATGCGCCAAAGCGGAGATTGAAGGGCAAGAAGTAGAAGAGTTGTATGCCAGTGACGTGTCTGAGAATGACAGCACCGGAGTCATGAGTAAGAGTTAAATTGACGGAAACACATACGTGACTCTCTGGTGCATCAGCGGGACAGTAGTATCCGTAATGACTGTGCAACCGTGAACGGCAGATGCACAATCACATAACGACAGAGTCAGCATCAGAGAGGCACAGGAAGTGGGGTCTGCTGTCAATAAACTCATGTATAATTCAAACAGAGAAGTAGTACATACATTAAATTTGACCGTCTTGAAAGCCTGAGACTCTCCAATGAATGTGAAGGTTGTGGTGCCACGAGAGTGAGTTGCTCTTGGTAAGAGGTGAAGGTGAAATGGATGGGATGGGAAGTTAAGTGAGCTGCTCTCAAAAGAACACACCTAGATAGTATGTCAGTCGTAGTGCACTGCACTAGAGTACAAACCTACCAATGATGTTCAGATAGTAGTTGATGCAAGAACAGTGCACTATAGTACCGATGACATTCGAATATCGAGTCAGTTGGATGCGAGAGCGATAGGGAGGCAGAGTACATACCTTCAGGCCATATTGATGCGAGGACAGTGCACTATAGTACCAATGATGTTCGGATATCGAGTCAGTTGGATGCGAGAGCAATAGAGAGGCAGAGTACATACACTGGGGGCAGGAACCAATTTGCCCATGGGTCAAATGTTGAACCTAGCGTGATCTCAGACAGATTCAGGTCACCTTTGGTTTTGGCAGATAATGTTAACAAAAATTAAAAAAATTTCTTACTTTATCTCAATTTGAGTTATCCTGTCATATATACATTATAATCATCTTGTCTACACATTTTTATCAGACATAAAAATTATCCTGGCATATGTTTTTGTTGTCATTTTGGCATAGGATCACATAATGATCACATTTTCAACAAGTCTCAAACTCATGTTTTGAGTAAATTTTGACTGAGGTTAATTCTTTTTTATTATTTTTTCATTGGAATCAAGCTAGGAAATTTTTGTCTATGAATGCAAGCAATATATTACTTTGATTCTGATCACATTTTGGAGTTTTTTTAATTTATAACACCCTATATGAGGGACCCCTTTGGACAAAAATAAAAACTGTACTTTGCGCTGGAAAAACTGAGAAATGAGAGAGAAAAAGCTGTACTATACGAAAAAGTCACACTTTCGAAAAAAAAAGTCACACTTCAAAAAAAAAAGTCACACTTCAAAAAAAAATCACACTTCAAAAAGATCACTCTCAAGAAAAAGAAAAAGCACCGACGGTGCAGAACCTGCTGCCTTTGAGACATAGGCCTTAGCTATGCTACTGTAACTCGGATGAGCATCTTCCTGAGCAAATGCCAGCACAATTACCAGCCTCGAAATGTCTGAATATTCAATGTTACAGTACATATGTAAATCAAATGTAATATAGAACAATCGTCACAAATCAATCAAAACTATGTTCTAAGCGGAGGAGTTGCGTATGCGAACAAGTCCATAGTATGATAGAGTCATTAGAAGGTAACCGTATGGCCACAGGTGAGTAGACAGATACTTTCCGAGATTACGAAGGCTGCTATCGTTTGGAACTGGAGGGGATGCTGATTGAAGGCGGTTTGTGATCGTGTAGATTGACTCTGGTGCGTCCATCAGAATCGAAGAGAAGTTGGAGTGACGTGGTTTGAGTGCTGGTCGACGTTCTGCCAAGAGCGAATTTGGCATTAGATTCTCTTTCTCGTTTTCTCCACCCCACCAGGAATGATCATTTACGTCTTCCGCAAAGATTCGCTTCCCCGCGAGGAAGGAGAAGAAAGACGATCGGAAGGCCTAAATGCGGTAGACCCCATCGCAGACCTTGCAGATCTTTGTGGAACTGTGACACGAGAGGCGCCCTGGGTCACATATCGACGAGTGCCTCTGCGCAACAAATGTTTAATGAAAACCGGGCTCTCATTCAAAGCAGCCTGTGCAATCTTCTTTTTCTTCACATGAGCAGGCGTCTTGCGGATCCAGCAGGGTATCCAAACAGCCGGGCTGCTATCGGGTGGACCAGCTCCAGATAACCGGCGCTGGGCCTCGTCCACACCGTCGATCAAGAGAAGCCTGCAGGGTGGGACAATGAAACTTCGTATATAAGTAGCCAGGCCCACTCACCGTCGATCTACGAGCCTCGACAAAACAGCACTGAACCACCCAGCATACTGTTTCTCAGGAAGTGGTGGGAGCGCAATACCGGGAAGACGTTTAGTTGAAGTGTGTAACACGATGAAGTGAGAGAACCGCCGTTGAACTGTTATGCGGGTAGGAGAGATCGGTGGGATGTATGGATCATATGATTCATCTGTAGCCGAAGAAAACAGTGAAGTAACGCTATACATGGTATATGCTCCTGAAAGGCCTGACGTGCACTTCGAAGGTGAGTGAGCCAAGACCCGAAACTTTGGAACTTTAGATTGCCACGCAGGGCCAGCGTCTGCTTCCCCAGCCCAAGTCTGCTGAGCCTAGTATTATCATCATTGATGGAGTCTTCCGTAGAGATCTGCTGGTGTGAAGAGGATGAACTTGGAATGACTGGATCGACGTAGCCTTCGAGAACCCACTCTTCTGCACCACTTGTCACGAACCCGGAGAACCGATTCAGAGTCTTGCCTCTAAGAAGGCTTTGCCTGAAACTTGGGAGAGGGTTCGTCCATTCACCGGTATCCTGAGGGACGATAGAAAGTGGCTTTGACTGATGCTGGAAAGATGCTTGTGGAGTGATCGTGCTGATAGGTGGCTCATTTCTCCCATGAACGGCTAACGGTGCAGAAAGAAAACTAGTCGCGCACTTCACGGACAGCATAAGCCAGATAAGCTCACGAACATCGAGCGATCAGTATGATCAGTACTCACCGTGTAATATGTCTGAGTCAAAAGTCCTATCTCACCAGAGCTCACTCTCACCAAACTCCAGCCATCTCCGGCCTCCTCCTTCAAAATGTTCAGTTCATCTCCAGCCTCGACGGTCAGTTCCCTGAATTCAGCCTTTCCTTCAAAGTTGTAGAGCGCACGAGCCGCTTTGACGGGATCTTCGACAGGCTGCAGTTCATAATGTTCATCTGCCGGCTCAGGCTCGTCGTCTGATAATGAGTGACATTCCAAGGTGTACGTGAGAGAAATCCCCATGATCGGCTATACAAACAAGTCTGCTACTATTTCCCACAGTTTTGAGCTATCATAGTAATAATATTAGAAACAACTGACATTCAACTTGAAGTAATCCGAACAAAATCATGATGCGTGCGGCCTCTAGCACGACTCAATCTACCATCCAACCATACTCTGTACTCTCGCATTCCATCGCGGCCCTCTAGCACATCCCTGCGCGCCTACACGAACCTTCCCAATCCTCTAAAAGCGCTATACTAAGCTCAGGGCCCGGCTCTTGTCCGTGCCATAGTTTGGTTTTCGCAAGGTACGTCACAGTGTGGTTGCGCGGCACTGTCATGATGCTTACAAACTGAACAATTTCAGTTCAAAAACGTTCGGACAAAGAAATCTCAACTCTGCGAACAAGCTGCAGACCTTACATTAGGGTTCGGAATGCAGTCGCCTGCACTCCGAACCCTAAACTATGATTCCACAAGACTCTTCGGCGGCGACCCTCAGATGGCACCAGTCGTGACTACAAGTGCATGCGAGAAATATATCAGACGGTACGTCATTGCTATTATGCACATGTTCAATGGGCTTGGCAGGAACTTACGATGCTTAGTAGATGTCTGTCTTGGGCGAAACCCGAGATACAAATCCAGAGGCTGTCAACCTCGTTGAGGATATGGTGCGCAGTCAGCTCATCGAACTTGTGAGTAATCTCAACTTTAGTGATGAGATTCATCTGTAATGCGTAATCATGATGCTACTCTAGATCTCGCAAGCCCACATCCACGGGAAATATGTGAGCACCATCTTTGTAATATTGTGCGCTGTGATTCTAATCATCATATCAGGTCATTTTTGGTCAAAGAGCATATGTTCTCTCCCCAGGCGCTTCTCCTCCTGATTGGCATGATAAAAGATGAGAATCTCCATGTGTAAGATACGACGGTGTTATGTAGTACCTGAATTTCTGAAGCAATCAACTATATTCCAATAATCTCGGGCGCTCGCTGACTTGAACGCTACCACCCTACCTATGGACGCAGGACCTCCACTCCCCTTGGGAACTATTTCTCTGGCTTTCGAGCATCTAAAGAATGATGTTCGGAGAGCACTCAACACACAAGTAGGAGACGTTGCTCGGTTAGATGAGCAAATTGCCATGTGCATGAACCTCGAGCGACACATTCAGTATGTGAGTCCTTTTCTCAATTAACATATATGCGACTTATCAGGACCAGCACGCAAGAATTATCGCACCAGATGACCGCCATATCATGCTTTCTGGCATCCATGAGATGGTTGCTGACTTGGAGATTGCCAAGACGTCATCTACCGATGAGCCTGATGCACCGCCAGTAGCTCATACGAGAAGCGTTCATACTGGTGGACGAGGCCGTCCTCGCATCGAAATTGACACTGATGTTCTTGCAACTGCTTACCAGCTTGCAGGGCCAACTCGGCTCGCACAGGTCTTCAATGTGTCTGCTAGAACAATCCGACGGCGCGCCCTGGAGCAACAGATAGTAGAGCCAGGTGATCCAGTGTTTGTCACACTCACAGACGAAGACGGGCATGTCTTCCGCATCCATACATCATCTACCGGATCACAGTCAACACTGACTGATGAAGAACTAGATGGGATCATGTTGGATATTCTGACTGCATTTCCATCGTTTGGTCGCCGAATGATCGACGGACACCTCCACTATTTAGGGCAACACCTTCCTCGTCGGCGGATTCAAGAGTCCTATGCCCGTGTGAATGGCCCGCCAGTAGCAGCCTTTGGACTTCGCCGAATTCAGAGGCGAGTCTATTGTGTCGCAGGTTTTAACTCTTTGCAGCACCACGATGGCCAGCATGGTAATGATTCTATCTTAAGCAGGCATTGTCCAAGTCCTCACAAATGAGCTCCATAGGCCTTATACGCTACAAAATGGTGACCCACGCCTTCATCGATGGGTTTTCCCGTTTTATCACAGGCATCCGCGTTAGCAACAACAATCGAGCTGAGACAGTCTTTGACCTTTTTCAATCACTCATCCAAAAGCATGGCCTCCCACAACGTGTACGAGGTGACCATGGAGGTGAGAATGTTATGGTGGCACGGCATATGGAAGAAATGCGAGGCTACAACCGTGGTTCATATATATGGGGATGGTAACTATTTTATTGGCAATAACTGCTTTTCATATACTTACGCACTCAAATAGCAGTGTCCATAACATTCGGATTGAACGCCTTTGGGTTGATTGGACCAGCGCAGTTGGTTCCAAATGGAAAACCTTTTTCCAAAATCTCGAGGTCTATGATGCCCTAAATCCCGAACTCTACTCTCACATCTGGCTTCTTCACTATCTGTTTCTCGATGTCATCAATACCGAAGCCTTGCAGTGGGCAAATGCTTGGAATTCTCACACGATGACACTGCCTGGACAGCGTAATGATAGTCCTCATGCCTTACGTTTTTTTAGTGTCATCAGCGGAGGAGGGCGAGGAGTCGATGCTAATGGAAATGTTCTACAAGATTTTCAACCAGCCGCAGATGACTTGGCTCCCGAGGAGATTGAAGAATACGGTATTGATTGGGAGGCTTTTGAAGATCATCACCTTCATAGCCATCATGCCAGTGAAAACCCTCCTGACCATCTGGCACACAATCCGTTTGTTGCGCACTGGCCAGAACAACATAATGTTGTAGAGGTAGAGGAGCCCGACTGTCCACTTACAGCTCAGCAGCTAGAGTATCTAAACACTTACATCCAAGATCTGTCAATAGATACTATGGAGCAGCGGCATGCACTATGGGTTACTGCATTACAAGTTTGTCATGATATCTTTCGATGGGTATAGGACACATTATTTACATTTCAGTATCGTAGTTTCGCTGTACAGTACTTGTGCAGCCTGACACGCTTTAGGTGCAGAAGACATTGACGGCGTCTCGTGTATGCTTAATGTAGACATGCCTGTCCCGTACATGGATGATACGACTGTCATCTTACAAATGCTATAGTATCCAATACGAATGCGTGTGCATGTAGGGGGTAACGGATGATAAAAGTCAGGAAAACAAGCAATGAGGTACGCACTTGGGAGTGAACTTTGGAGTGCAAACAATGGCAAAGGACTCCGGAAGCATACGCTGCGAACGTCAACTTTGCTATGGTAGAGAGGAGAAGAGCATGGACCCTCAGACGGCGAGCCCTTGACACCTATTCCACATTTGCTTTGCTTTACACGGCTTCGAACACTGCAACTCATGTTTTATAATCCCTGCATCTACCTGGACAATGACATTCTCTTGCAAGCCATGTCTAGTTGGTCGCACATCCGCACTCTGGAAATCAACTACGTAGACGACCATCATTCTCCTTCCGGAGTCTCCCTCCATGGATCCTGACTTTTATCATCCGTTACCCCCTACATGCACACGCATTCGTATTGGATACTACAGCATTTGTATAATAGTGACGATGGAAGCTAGTATGTAGAATTGCAATGGAACTATTCATGCATTAAAACTATCCTCACCGGCGTCAATGAGGGCAGCATGAAGGCAGGCATCAAAGGGTGTTACTATATTATCGTCTCGGGGAAGAGGGGAGCGTAAAAATGAGCGAAGTGCATTGTTGGCCCATAGGTCCATTTGGTACGTGCAGGCATGAAACATAGGCGGCAGGAAGTCTTTGTGGATCTATGATTATATCAGAGAATGTTTGATACAATTGTGGACTGGTAGCGCACATCATAATGACCATTGAATGTTGCTGAAATGGAAATGTCTTGGTGTATAGCAATCTATGAAGAGTTAGGACTTAGCAACGGTCAATGACTTTATATGATCAATCGTACGTACAGTGAAGTCTTTGAGCCCAGGAGGCAGAAGGGTGATGCCGCTTATTAGCTTCACAAAGCGACGAGCACGATAGCATACATCCTGGTTATCAATAGCTAGCTGAGTTGAACTGACGAGGTTGGTAAAGAGAGGGTCATCAGGGTGCCCGACTCCCTTGAAATAACGCTCCACATGTTCCCTTAGGTTTGGCAACAGGGTAGCCATATCATTCTCAAAATCTGCATCTCCAAGTATGTCAAATGACAGGAGAGGAAATAACTGCAAAGGGGAATTTAAACGATGGCAGCCGTATGCTTCATATAAAAGAAACTTGGATGAGTCTGCGATAGCCTGGTAAAATACATTGAAATCAGTTGTCAAGTGATATACTACGATTGACTTACATCAATGAATGAGTGATGGGTTGGAGACAAAGCCTGATCAAGACCCTGGCGGAATGCGGCATATATTGTAGACTCATGGAGTTGGGGTGCTCGAACACCAAGAAGTAATGAAGCATGTAAGGCTCGTATCATGTTCGGCCACTGCGCTGCGCGTGTACAAGATAGTTGTGCGAGCTAGTGAGAATCATCATGATTAGCACCCAGAATGAAAGTACTAGTGACAGAAACATACTGTTTGCTTGCCAACGTGGCATAAAATATGCTGGAGGTCCAGGACCTCTTGGGGAGTAAGATGAGAGAAATCTTGAGCAGCGCCAGCAGATGATGGGAAAAGTTTGAGGACGTTGAATGTATCTGGAAGGATGGCTTCTAGCCATGCAGAGTCGACCAAGGAATCTATTCCCCCAATAGTTACTTGGAGGAGTGCTGGGGAAACTGGAAGCGGTGCTGAGTGTACACGTAGCAAGAACATAGCGCATAAGACACCCAGTGCAAACGCATAGTCTTCCTGATCGGCATCAGGGAACTCATCAACTTGGAGGAACACAAAGCCATCCTCAGTGCTTTGCGGGTCCTGGCAGGTGCGGTTACTGGCAATGTGTATTGCTTCATAGAGAACCTGATGTGTGACACCATCGCCTATAGTATCACCTGACCGGCCCCTGCAAAGGTGGGAGGTCAATATTGAGCATCTCATAATCAAAATGAAAACGTACGCTCGGAATAACCAATGCATGGACCATATTTCATGGAGCCGGACATTATGGGGGATGAGCATAAAATGAGTGGGCAAGTCCGGTGGAGCATGGAATGGTCCGGCAGGATGATGGCGAGCTTGAATAATGAAAGCAAGCAATCCTTTGACTGTAACTTCAAGGGACGATGATCGAACATGCCATACCGCATTCCGTAAAAGCTCAGGTCCTGAAGCACGAACGTCCCTATCAAGCGCAGCAAAATCAATGAGGGAAGGAGGCTGAGAGGGCGTGTATACAGAACGGGGTCTAGTAGGCAAAGAAGGTTGTGAAGCATGAGGAGGGGGTGGCGGGTTGAGATTAAGAAGCTGCAGGCCAGGGGAGACTCGTGTCTGTTGAGAAGAGCGGCTAGGAATATCCTCAGGCAGTGGATTTTCGATTATTACAGGTGAGTCTGTAAGGTCGATAGGTGATAGATGTGATGTGATGCTCATGTTATTGTCCAAATCATCATCGATGTCGGAATCAATAACAGAATGAGATCGGGGCTGACGGTCATTACCTATATCAGCGTGATTTCTGGAATGAGGGTGGCGATACGTACCCTGGAAGTATGACTGGGAACATGTGGGCACAGAAGTCGGCATGGTATGGTAGCACCTGCATCACCACCATCGAGAAAGTGATGGATGTGGTCCACAAAGCATGAGTGCTTCTCAGTACTTCCAGGTGAGATGGGGCCAATAATTGCACCTTCCTTGGGGCCTGTAGAAATGTAAGAGATCAAACCGCTGCAGGTGATTGCCGACATACATAATAATAATATTCCTGTCCCAAAGCCTGAAGGATGATCCATGCGCTTGGCAAGCTTACTCAATGATGAGAACGAGTAGCGATGCCAGGAATCTTCACAATCCACATTGAGAGCTCGACCATATTTGCTGCGGTTACCAGGCACAAGCAATCGGAAGGGAAGACGTGCGTACTGGATGCGAATATCCCGGTTCTCCTCGCCAACATCCAGGTCAAAGTTCATATCCGAGTACGTAGGGAATTGGAGGGATCCATGGTTCATCATGGTGTGAACGCCTTGGTAGATCTGATCGATCACTAGTTTGTTGGGGGTTGAGACGTGGAGTTCGATGCGACGGGTACAGTGATACTGGGAAAAAAATCGGAGCTGGGCAGCAAAGGCTTCACCGCATGGAAGTCGGTCTGGGCAGGAGATGTTGATGTCAGCCGACTCGTCAAATACACTAAGTCCATCTTGAACATGCGTTGGCGGAGGGATAAACTGGAAGAGACATGTCAGAGGTTATAGGCAGGATGAAAATGCGAGGACGTACATCATAAGGATACATTACAAGTTCAACGGATAATTTATATGTTTTATTGATACGGCATGCTTGGCCTGTGATTTCGTAAGGCTTGCGTGATGCAAAGGTTCGATTGCGGTTGCCACGGTTTCGGCTACCACCGTTCAAGGTGTGAATAGGAGGAGCAGGAAGGGGAATACCAGAAGAAGGCATGCAGTGCGGAGTTACACGATTATACGGGGTGACAGAAGGCATTTGATACATGGGCATAGGAGGGAGGGGAGCAGACCATAAAGATGGGGAGGGTTCAGGAGCAGGGGGTCTGGTAGAGATCGGCGCTCCACGGTTACATATGTCAGAAGACAGCGCTGCTGCAGGCGTGATGTTGATGGAAGCAGAGTTTCGAGCATTACTTGATGGTGTAGTTCGACTGTGGATGCTGGGCCAGTTAGCATATATTCAAGTATCGTCATAACCGAAGATACTTACACAGAGGGGAGAGGGAGGTGTTGATTGTATCGACCTCCACATTGACATTCTTGATAAAAATCGGTGACCTATAGTTTGTGTCGATGTGAGAATGTTCAATCGTTAGTTCAAAAACACATACAGGAGCACCATCGGTCCTAAATGCAAAGCATTGCTGTGCAGGTAGGCCTGCACGACTGGGAAGGACCCGTCTATTTTGAGAGGTTTGATGAAAGTGAGCTGGATGGTCGCATAGGCAAGGAGACTGAAAGGTGTTTGAGTAATGACCTCAGACGCATCAAGGTTAAAACATACGGATTCGTCGCCTTCAACAGATGGAACGAAGGCAGTGCAGTCTTGCATACACTGTCGGCAAGAACCTGAGGCCATTGTACAACAAATTATCGGTCAGTATCAGAGTGACAATAAAAATAACGACATGAAGGAGAGAACGAAAAAGAGGGGGGAGCAAAATGGGGATGAGTGATGCAGTGGGGGAGAAAGTTAAAGAGAAGACTGACTTACATAATTTTGAAGCAATCAGCGGCTACTGTATGGACCATGTGCATGAGGCACCATGAGGTTCTGAGGGATGATGATGATAAATCGTAGCGCGCACCCAACTGGTCCCTCACCTTCTCCTTTCCAGGGGCTTTCGAATTCTTTTAGAAGCCATTGTTTGGCGCAAAATTAATCAAGTGATACTTTTGTAAAAGAAAGTTCCCTAGGCAAGGGTCTCTCGAGTGGTGACCAGCCCAGAGCTATCGCCTGGCAGCTTGAGACATCCAATCCTGGGCCACTCGAGAGGGAAGTGAGGAAGGAAAACAATGGCATAGATGGTGCCGGTGAGTAATCATATGCATTAGCTCACAGTTATGACATGCTAAACAATGTTGAATGTATGAACGCGACGTGTCAGTCATGTGGTATAATCATGTGACACGTTCCTGCACGAGTATGCTTCTTGCAGACTATTGCCACCACCGCAATGCAGCATGGATAGATGACTCAGACCTATCTACTGACGAAGAGCTACTCATGCAAGATATCAATACTAATGCGAACAACCATACTCCCATCGCTCAAAGGCATGTTTCCGTCCTTGACTCAGTCTGTGCGTGTTCTCGTCTTTTGGCCTGCGTACTCGACGCTTGGTGCTCTGAGTCTAGCCGTGTCCCATCAATGTACACGGACCAAGATTCACTACTTACTGCTATTAGGGCTCTATCGAGAGATATATGCTGCATTTTGTGCACGATGACTTTGAGTGCGTTCAGAATATACTAATTTACATGTTGGTCGTACGTCCAAAAGTGTGCCTGTGTCAGGCTTGGAGCGATCAATCGATCACACCGTGACTGATTCAAATTGAATGATAGGAGAAGGAAGCACTGGGCAACAGGTCCCGTCTACTTTCCGTTCCATCGGCCCTCAAGGCCTCATCGATGCATCGCGTCCTACAACGTCAAGCGAAGCAGCTCATTTTACCTTTAGTCGAGAAAACAAACCTTATCATCATCGTGTTCTACTGAACTTTATATCTTCAACTCAACCCATATGGTTCGTCGATGTTCCCAAATGCCCATGCGTTGCATCATTATCGGACCACGCAATTTCCCTGCAACGGATCACTTCTACCACGCGACATGAACCAAATCTCACCCCGACGATCAACTCACATCTTGGCGAACCCCGTTGATTCGTAGGTACCACAATGTTCATTAAATTGACCTCGTTCCTGTCTCTCATGACCAACCTACTTTAGCCTACCAGTGCCCCACAGCAGTCCACAAGTCCTCACTTGTTCTCGATAAGTCCGTGGACTCCGTGCTTGACATTGCATGCTGTCACTCAGAACTAGTGTCGTATCCGCTCACATCCGGGTTTTCGACATTTCTATTCCTGCAGATGGGCCTTCGATATGGCAGGCGAAGGTAAGTCTTGAGCTGGCCAGATGCCCTTTCTAAACTTAACACGCTGCAGATAAGGAAAAGCCTCCCCAGTGCACTGACGTTCGTGGTCTATATTTTTTCGTCTCCAAGGGCTTTTAATTTTCGATGGCAAGCAATCGTCTACAAGCTTCTCTGACACCTTACTGTTTGTAATTGATCGTTCCGCTGCAGGTCCATTTGGTGACTGATCATAGCATCACGACGGCTCATGTGACCATATCTTTTCACAGATATTCAAACGAAGCTTTATGATTCTTGCAACCATCAGTCCCCATGAACGGTATGCTTCCCTTGGTCTCAGTGTTCTACGCGATGCATATAGTAAAGGTGGTCGTTCCTTCTCCATCGAGTAGGCAATGTTTGTCTGAGTCTGCATTACCCCTTCCCGACAGGTATATTTGGCAACCGTAAAGAAACGACGCACGAAAATCCACCTTGGGACCAACAACTCGATTGCGATTCTTCCATATCGTTGTTCAAGCTCAGCGCTCAGTAATTGTGCTTCTTTTACCACTGCTTCGGATATTTTGCAACAAACAAGGCAAGTTCAGTTGAGGTTCAAGCTGAAGGCGCGTGATATCTGGGTTATGAGAAGATTCTGTTTGTTTACCAGGTCTGCTTAGACGATGCAGTACAAGAGTCATCCGACAATCACAGTGGGACACTAATTCCCTTTACTTACCTCCGCGTTGACTAGGCTGTCATCATACTATGTACATACGCCGGACAATTATATCCAGTTTACGGAACTCAGGTATGTATGGCTGACATACGGAACGCGTGGTGGGACAAGCTGGCATACTCGATGTTCCCATGTGTGTAGTAGACAATGAATAGAAATAATTATTTCTTAGTAGGGTTGTCTGAGTCGTGTCAATTAGATGACACTTTCGTTACAAGACTATCATTTCTCCGATTCCGGATCATGGGGTTAGCAATCAATGCACTGTGTCTCGGGAGGATAAACAAATTTATTTCAAGCAAAAGCTTTTCAGGGTTACCTCGGAACATCAGGGCACTCGAGGCAAACTACAGTAGCGCAGGCCAGCCATAACTCCAATTACATAGCGCGAGTGAGGACACGTCACGATTCCCGTAGGTACTCCAAAAGTCACACACCAGCAAACGCAAGAAAGAATCAAGTACTAAGACATCGTGTCCCATGGTTCATCCGATAATGAATCCACAGCGGGAAGTTTGTCCCGAAGACCCGGCATTTCTTCTGCACTGATGTTATATGATTGTAGTAGCTTGACGAATTGATCCAATGAATCGCGGTCCGCATGTTCCAGGAAGGTCAATTGTTTGTCGAACTGCTGAATCCAATCTACAGCGTCCGCAACACAAAAGTCAAGTCGATGATGAAGCATTGGAGCGCCAAACAACTAAGAAGAGACCTGTTGTTTGTTATGACGTGTGTCGCGTGCGGACTGGGATGATCTAACAGCGACGATCACGACAGTGATATCTCGTGCTGAGAGTCCGAGGTCGGCTCCCACAGAAGAGCAGGAGTTGCGTACGCTTGCGGAGGCGAGCGATAGTAGCGGTTACAGGCAGAAGGGGTCTCAAGTCCTTCCGAAGGTGCGGATCTGATGTCAAGCAGGTAGCTTTAGCAAGACAAAGGTTTCAAGGTAAAACCCAGTAGGATTAAAGTAAGGAACATCTACTTTAATCTATCGACCTTATATAAGGCTACTCTATCGTATCTAAGCTCAGCTTGAAGCTGGGTTCTTAAGTGCTTATCTATCGAGTCAGAGATACCATGCATGAGGCAGGCTTCTATCAGTACATGAGGCAACACGAGGCTTGCCTTCTATCTTGATAACATATATAGGTCTTCTAGACCTATGTCATCATATCATGTAAGCGATCCAGATCGCTTACCTAATCCGGCATCTTCCGGACTTCTCTTCTATTCATCATCTATTGTCAAGGCCTAAAGGCCTGGGTATCATGTCGTTGCCGTGCAAGGTGGCAGAGGGCTGGTCGTGTAGCTGGGGGCTCACGTAGTGACTGTAACATTACCCCATTACTACGCACAAAGTCACCGGCTTTGTTTTCTTAAACGTCTTCTTCCATCGTAGTAGTAAGTGGTGCGGGAATTGCTGACGTGGGGACGGAAGGTGCTGAGGGAGTTTCAGGGACAGGGGAAAGTTCAGTAGGATGCTGAAGTTCTAGATCCGCGAGTGCCTTGTGGTTATGCTCCCAATCTAAGAGAGCTTCGAAAAACTTCTCTTCATCGCTAAACTCTTGGAGTACAATGCGTCCGTTGAGTCGCGGGCAGTGGACCGACAGATGGTTAGGTCCCAGTTCATCGCAGATGCAACAAACATAATCTGGACATCTTCTGAACTGATGTCCGTATCCTTCGCAGCGCTTGCAGAGCGTGGTGCGGGTTCGATCTATGGTAGCCGCTTTTCTTCTCAGCGGGCGTACCGGGCAGGGTTCTTCTAAAACGGGCTTCACTTCAACTTTCTTTATCGCGAGGTCAGTGATATCGGAGAAGTCGAGGGGGAGTAAGTGAAGTGCGAAGTTTCTGATCCGCCGTTGCAGATGAAGTATAGCAAGTTTCCGAGTTGCTTCATCAAGGTCAACACGATTGGCTACATCTTCCAGTAGCTTCGTGGTTCGTATAATGCAGACGGAGAGGGAGGTGCACGCTGCAGTCCTGGCGTCTTGTTCACCAAGGATTTCGTCGATCGCTTGGGAGTACGCGGGGGTCAAGATAGCGGCTTCATTGAACGCACTATTTTCTGTCATTCTGAGGACGTTCCCATAGTCGGAGTCCTTCAGTGCAATCTTGATAGAGTTGTTGTCGATGGAGTTTGTCATGATGATGATGGAGGTTTGTTGGGAGAGATGTTCGAGGATCGAGAGGATTTATAACCTTCTTCCAGATCAATCCAAGCTCCGTTTCAATCTAAACTTATCTTTGTTCGTTATCTCTTATCGTCTTATCTAGCCATGAGGCTAACTCGTGTTCGAGATTCTTCTTCGCTATCAAAGGGAAAGTGCCGTGATAGGTACTATCATCCTTTATCTTTGTTTGAAAGATCGGGTCGTCATCAGAGGGTGGTCGTCATTGCCATGATGGGTTCTAGAGGGTTCCAAGGGCTTGCAGGAGTTTCCGTGGAGTTCGTCTCATGATAGTTTAGCCTCGTTCCGGAGGTCTAATCTTCTTATCTTTTATAGATCCATTTCTGGGTTCTTTATTAGATGTCGAAGGTGGGGGTCCGAGCATGGATACCAAGGCTTTTGTAGGAGTTTCTTGTGGTCGTCCAGCGGGGAGATCGTCTTCTATTACCCTTTGTTTATATATGGTCTACTCAGGTGGTTGAAGTGCAGTGATGTGAGGGGTCCCGAAGCTTGCAGGAGTTTTCCGGGGTTCGTCCTTGTTCATCGTCTAGTTTTATGTCATTACGGACAATTGTAGTTTAG